CATTTTGCTTGGGGCCTTCCCGAGTGTTGCTTATGGATTCCCACCGAGAGTGTTGGGGGTCGCCCTGGGTGGTGCTGTGAGCCGAACAGCATGCAAAGTATGCACTTCATTTCTTGGGTCTGTCTCCCTGGCCCCGGTTATCGTAACTCCCCGCCCTGTTTACTGCCTGTCTCAGTGGATCTGCTGTGATGGGGGTCACAGATAAAGCTATCTTAGAAATACTGGAAGGCAGAAATGCGTTTATTGCATCTAACCTACTGCATATCAGAACATAGTCTGAGGGGCCTAGGGGAGTAGAAATACTAGGACACAAAAATACGAGTGTCAACATCCTTCAGCTGCTACGAGCAACACCAAATACCGTGGTATAGAAGTTGTTTTTGCCTGTGGAATCTTGTGGCTGATCATGGGCTCCGTTCCACTGCCACTGCCCAGTCCCACAGTGGATGGTACTACGTATCTCTAGCCCAGGAAAAGATCCAAATTCAACATTGGGTTCAGCCCCTGGCACTGCATCTGTTCCCCGAGCACCACCAGAAGTAGCGGCTGAGCACTGCCATCTGTGGTCCCCAAGCCAAAGCTGGAAGTACAGTCTCTACTGGATATATATGGCTTTTATGCCACGGCAGGTTGACAAATCCTAAGTCGAACTGTTTGAGGGGGGCCCGCTTCTATTTCTGCAGTTCACATGGACCTGTTTCAGGTTGTGAGCCCCCTATCTGCCCTGCAGTACCTACCCTTTAGGTATGGGAGTGTCCAGCCTCCCAGCAGAGTTCAGTGAACATCTCTGGATGTGAGAGGATGTAATCCACCATACACCAGGTTTGTGGTGTTCGACCCCCTCCCAGACCTGGTGCAGGACCACACTGGGTCCCAGGAAGGCCACCAAGAAAGGGAGGGGCAGGGACTCCTAGGAAAGCAATTTGGAGTAAGAAGTAGAAGTGAGTTGAAGTCTTTTCTTTATGGCTTGAGAAATTTAGGATAAAACCTAGTTGTTTTTATTTTCTGGGAAACCAGAAGATTCTAACGTGCTACTTCTCAAATTGTCGTGGAAGGAAAAGCCTGGTATGTTGGAGTTAATTATAGGATCTGCCCAGCGAGAGAAAACACAAGTGTTTGGAGGAACAAAGGTCTCCTTGATTTCAGAAGGTTCGACAACATGACCCAAAGAGCGGGCTGGGATCAACCTGACCAACAAACACACCTCCAGCCCCGAGTCTGGGTCGATGCAGTGACAAAGAGCAGTTGTAATGGCCAAAGTCTAGATGTGATGAACGCGCTGATTAGCCAGATAACGGGGTCATTGCTGTCTGCTCTGGTGGCTTTCACTCGTGGAGAGCTTTCTAGTACTCCCTGGCTCCTACACTCTTCTCAGTTAATAAAATGTACGATTTCTGCCATTTTACAGGTGCAGTTACCAGGGCACAGGGAGTCTGCTTTCCTGTCCAGTGTCCAGTAGCTGGGTATTCTCATGTGACCAGCACAGTAATGCCCCACTCTCCTCCCGTGCAGCCCCCGCTGTGCTCTGAGCCTGAGAGCACAGAGGCACAGAGACACCTCCTGTCCTCCTCCTCCCCCACCCTCAGTGCTAGGCATGCTTCTTCCGCGTTGCTAATGAAATGATGGCGGTGTCACAGAGTTTTGTCTGTTGCTTTCAGGAGTTGGATATTAGGCAGATAGCTCTGGGCTCTGCCAGGGTTTACAGGAGAAGCCAATGAAGGTCTGGCTCGGCCCAGAATCCAACTCTCCCAAAGTTGGCAGTTAGAACAGGGCTTGTGACTTGGAGATGAAGATTCCCCGTCTTTCTCTTGTTGGAAGTTACGACGGGGCTTAACCAAATGTGACTTCCCTGCTGCAGTTCAATCCTGACCAAGTGTTCTGGGTTCTGATCCTCGCACTGGTGCTAGTCAGTCAGATTGCCCTCAGCAAATATCTTCCTCCGAGGATCAGCTTTCTAATCTGTGAAAATGGGCAGGCAGCAGTGGGTGTGCCCTCCTCGTGGGTGTGCTCTGAGCAGGGAAATGGAGGACCACCCCCTCCCTCCCTCTCTCTCTCCCTGTCTCTCTCTGTCTCTGTATCAGTCTCTGTCTCTCCCTCTCTGTTTGTCTGTCTCTTTCCTTCTCTCTGTCTCTGTCTTCCCCCCCTCCCTCCCTCTCTCTAGGTCTCTCTCTTCTGACTCAGCACTCTGGGAAGGTTCACCTGGACACTAGCTGTGTGACTGAGACAGGCCCCGTGCCTCAGGACCTGCCTTATTGTGTTGTCAGGAGAACCGGCAGGAGGGCACCCAGGCCTAGTTCTTGGTGCGGTGCCAGGCTCAAAGAGATGTATCATTCCAGTGGTTGAGGGAGCACCAGGGCAGGGAGACCCTTGTCTCAGAGGCACTGAGAGACCCCTGGCCCTAGAGGGCCTCCGCGGAGCTGGCTTCCTCTCTAAGTGGGATTGTAGATGTGGCGTTGCCCAGAGTCTCGCCACCTGCCTGGGCCTCTCCATGCCCTGATAGACTGGGGAGCATCAAGGCCTGTTGGTCCCAGAGCGAGCGCCAGGGCTGATGTGTGGAAGGGACTAGCTTCCGGCTCTCCTCCACTTGCCCTCATGCCCTGCAGGTGGGGTGGGTGCAGGCTGGGTGGGCCTGGCCCTGTGCCCCGAGGCTGTCCTGAGGCTGTCTCTGCTTTCCACTCAGCGCTGGGCTTGCTGGACTGGGCCATTCAGAACACCCGAAGTCCTGGCTCTGGGAGGCAGAGGGCTGAGCCCTGGGAGTTGGGGATGGAGAGAACAGGCCACAGGAAGGAAACAGTCACGAAAAGCCCATTTCCCTGGTTCCTCTCCCAAAGGTCCTTCTGTCCTTCCATTGCGGGTCGGCGCTGAACCCCTCCCAGGAGCCAGATGTGCTGCGGGGTTCAGCGAAGCATCTTGGAAAGTCAGTGTGGCGCCTTTTGCCCCGAGTCCTGAGGGGTTGCAGAGGCCTTGTCGACATTCCTGGATCCCCAAATACTGATTTTCTGTCCGATAACAGGCTGCAGGGAAGGAGCAGACGCTGCAGGTTGGGAATGAGGGAGGAGGGTGGGCAAGCTGGAGCTGGCTCGAGGAGGCATTGAGAGCTGAACTCGCTGGACACGTTTCCACTTTTAATAAAAAAAAAAAAGATTTTTTATTCAACAAGTAATAGAGGTTATTCAGGAAATGTAAGAAAATGCAAGCATTAAAAAAAAATTTCCCTCTATCATTGGTGACCCGGTCACTAATGTTTCCAGCCATCAACAGAGATGACGGTGGTTGATGGCTAAAATCCTGAATTCTGCTCCCAGGGGCTAGAGCGATAGCACAGCGGGTAGGGCGTTTGCCTTGCACGTGCCCAACACGGGTTCGATTCCCAGTATCCATCCCATAGAGTCCCCTGAGCACCGCCAGGAGTGACTCCTGAGTGCAGAGCCAGGAGTAACGCCTGTGCATCGCCAGGTTGACCCAAAAAGCCAAAAAAAAAACCCAAAAACCCAACATTCTGGGTCCAGCACCCTCATGCAAAGTCCTGCCTTCCTGTTACCAGCCAAGAAGAAGCAGGCACATTTCTTTTCCTCTGGGCCCACTTCCCTATATGTCAATGAGGGGTAATTTCCCCTTCTCCTAGTTATGATGGTGATACCTATTCCAAGGACAGCTATGAGAATGAAGGAAACCCAGGAGTGTTTAAGGCTCACCTAGAACGTGGAGTAGCTGTAACATAGCCAGGAGTATCGTCGTCTGAGTCATCTCTCCTGTGTGGGATGTGGGAAGCAATATGCATGAGTTCGTCATTTTAGTGAGATGGGTGATCAAGCCACGTTGTACCCTAAACTTCATTCCGTCACGGACGTCTTCATAGGGCCGGTTGGTCATCCTTCTCAGCCTGGATCACTTGTGGGGCAGAGCCCCACGGCTAAAGAATTTACTTGAACCACCCCTGCCCCGTGCTCTGTCCTCACAATCACTCTGTGAGTTAGCAAGTGTGGCGTTTAACAGACAACACGGAGACGAAGCCGTTTAGATAATACTCATGTCCAGAGCTAGCAAGCAGAGAAGTTAGGAGCTTGGTCTGGGAATCCTGGCTTTGAGAGCAGTGCATGTTGGCTGGAAGGGGAGGATCTCTTTCAGACTGTTTGCAAGACACGGGGCTTCTGGTGCTCGACACGCAAGGGAAGAGCGTGTGCAGGAGTGGCCTGGCTGGAGCCTGTGCGGACAGAGCTTGAGAGACTGTCTCGGCATCTCCAGGTGTGCGCTGGACCGCAGGCAGATGGCGGTTGGCTTTCCTCCTCAGACTGCCACAGCACTGAGGAATCTGGGTCGTTGGAAACCACTCTTTACTATAAAATGGGATCCAGTACTGCGCTTCATGTTCTTTGTCTAGTAGTTTTTCTACTTGTCATCCAGAGCCTACAGTGCAGCCGTCCGGGCCCCTGGCCACAGCGGCCTCCCACTTCCCATGTTTGCACTGGGCATTGCCCCTATCCCCAGTGAGCAGGGCCAAAGTATTGATAGCAGGTTAACTCACTCAACAAGGCTTTGCTGGAACCCCACCAGCTGAAGCCTTGTTCTGGATACAGAGGGCTGTTAGAGAGGACAGGCGGCTGAGAGAACACACACACACATACACACACATGCACACACATTCACACACGCACACACACATATACACAGACACCTACACACACATGCACAAACATCTGCACACACACATGCACAAACACCTATACACGTACACATATGCACAGATACCTACACATGCACACACACACATATGCACAGACACCTACACACACATATGCACAGACACCTGCACACACAGAAACATGCACAGACACCCACACACACACACACACACACACACACACCGCCGACAGTACAAAGCCAGTTGTGTGGCTCCGAGGACCTGTGCCCTCCCAGAACAGATGGACGCGTGGTGGAGGGTCCGGGATAGCTCAGCCTGCCTTGTGCGAGGGTGACTAACCACCTCTCTTCCCCACCAGGAGCAGCTCGGAAAGGCGGAAGGAGAAGTCCCGCGATGCAGCACGATGCCGGCGCAGCAAGGAGACGGAGGTGTTCTACGAGCTGGCCCACGAGCTGCCCCTGCCGCACAGCGTGAGCTCCCACCTGGACAAGGCCTCCATCATGCGGCTGGCCATCAGCTTCCTGCGCACACACAAGCTCCTGTCGTCAGGTGAGTGGCAGACCAGGGAGGCCTGCCTTTTGGACAGCAAGACTCTCTGCCACGGAGCTCCTCTCTGTCCTGGCTGTGGGCGTGGCACAGGGGGATGGGGCTGTGCTGAGCCTCCCTCCTCCCTGAGCACCTTCTTGCCTGTCGCCCCCTCCAGCTCCTTTCTCCAGCGGCACAGATTACCACCCCCCACCCCCCGCACACACAACTCTTCTCTCGGGACCAGACACGCGGTTCTGTGTTCCTGCTCACGGGCTTCCTCCTCCCTAGGAAGGATTTAGAAAGACTCTGGGGGGCCGGAGAGACAGTACAGCGGGTTGAGCACTTGCCTTGCACACAGCTGACCCGGGGCAAATCCCCAACATCCCATAGGGTCCCCCGAGCTTGCTAGGAGTGATCCCTGCCAGGAGCAGGTCCTGAGCATCGCTGGGCTTGGCTCAAAAAGAAAAAGAAAGGAAAGAAATAAAGAGAGGAGGAAGGAAGGAAGGAAGGAAGGAAGGAAGGAAGGAAGGAAGGAAGGAAGAAGAGAGGGAAAGAAACAAGTATCTGGGTGTAGGGTTCTGAAGACTGGGCAGAGAGTGTCTGTACAGCCTGAGCCCAGAGCCTGGCCACACACGTTCACGAGGTGAACTGCAGCCCCCTTGGAACCAGCTCATCCTCCGCACATGTCAGGTTCACCAAACTTTCCCCCTCTGAGTCTGCAATGCTTCAGAACAGGGATCCGTTTCTTGCCAGTGCTGACAGAGCGAGAGACTTGAGGCCCGTCCTCCCTCAGCCCTCTGTGTCCTGACTCCTCTGTGTGCTGAGTGGTCTCTGGGGCTCAGGGAACCCAGCTGGATCCGACAGGGTGTGTGGGGGTAGGCAGGGAGGCAGGGCTCCTAGTGGCGCCTGGTCCTGGGGCCAGCCTGCCATCCTGTTATGCAGTGGCTGTTCCGGGAACGCGGCCCTGGCGAGGGAGCACGGGCTATTCTGGGCCCCGCGGCACAGGAAGGATATGGGGACAGACGTGCAGAAAATAGGCCGGCGGCTCTGTGGGGCTCAGAGGGCGCGCCCCGTCCCACGGGCTGAGGCGCCCTGGAGTGGGCGGGCAGCGGGGGAGGACCACGGGGAGGGCACGGCTCGAGACACTTCCAACGAAGCCGTGGAACGCCGTGGGCTGGTGCTACGGTGAGCTGTGACAGGGTCTGGGGCGTGAGAAAGGCCAGGCAGCCGTGCAGCACTCAGACCTGCCTCAGCTCTCGCTCACTGCTCCCCATACAGTGCTCGGGGCTCCAGAGCCTCTCCTGCTGACACTCATCCCTGGGGGGCCAGGAACCACCACGGGCATCCTGGCAGGAGGATGCCCAGGCTCCGGCTGCCAGTGCTCAGGGCCCATGTGGTTCAGACTCATGTCCCAGGACAAGCAAAGCCTCTATCAGACTATCCCTAACTGCTGGGCCTCTCCCTCCCTCCCTCCCCTCCCTCTCCCTCTCCATTCCTCCCTCTCATTCTCCCTCCCTCTCTTTCTCCCTCCCCCCTCCCTCCCTCCCTCCTTCCCTCTCTCTCTCCCTCCCTCTTCCTCTCTCCCTCACTCTTCCTCCCTCACTCTTCTCCTCCTTCTCCCTCCCTCCCTCCCTCCCTCCCTCCCTCCCTCCCTCCCTCCCTCCCTCTACCTCTACCTCCCTCTCTCACTCCCTGTCTTCCTCCCTCTCCCTGCCTTTCCCTTCCTCTCCCTCCCTCTTCCTCTCTCCCCCACTCCCCCTCTCCCTCGCTCTCTTTCCTGTGGTCTCTCTTTTTCTCCACATCTATTTGGATAGGTGAATGCAATCCCTGGCACTGTGGGAAGCCCTCATGCATAGAACCAGTAGTTAGTGGAGGCTAGTAGTTAGTGGAGGTTAGTCAGTGACTAGAGAGAACCCTCTAGAAACACCTAGGGCCCCCTGTCATGATGTGTCCTAAGGATGGAGAGATAGAATGGGACTGAAGCACTTGCCTTGCACATGGTTCAATCCCCAGCATTGTAGATGGTTCTCCCAAGCCTGGTCAGGGGAGATCCCTGAGCACAGAGCCTGGAGTCAGCACTGAGCACTGCCGGCTGTGCTTCAATCCGACACCCGCCTCCTCCCCAGATTCTGCAATTAGCTACCAGTTCCTGGTTATTTCCTTCTCCCGTCACCCATCCGGCCACCAGCAGAGAGTTTAGAAGAGGAATGAGTGGAACCGGACACAGGTCTGATGGAGCCTTAGGGGTGGCCTCGATGAGGGCCTTGCTCCCCACGCCCTCTGCCTCCTCGCTGCGGGTCTGGCCCGGCTTCTTGGGGCTTCTGAGGTTGACTTGGAGGAGGCTCCTCTGAGCGACCTGCCTGTGTGGGCTTCGGGGACACGCCCGGGGCCGCCCCCCACCCCAGCACCATCAGAAAGGTCATCTGATGGCGGCCACCTCTGTCCCACAAAAAGAAGAGACGGGGAAGGATAGGAAGTGTCCACGCTTGGCCATCTGCAGCTGGAGTCCCAGCAAGGGCAGCTCTCCAAGGGCACGGTAGACACCTCTCGCACCCCCTCTCACCCCTCACTCTCCCTTAGGGCCTGTGTTCCCTCCCCTCTCTCCTGCCCCGTGCTCCCTTTCTGCCTCTGATGGGCTTCGCTGCACGTAGTCATGACCAAAGGAGCCCAGGGTCTTGGGCAGACGGCCTTTAGCGGCCCTGGGCATGACTCCATCCTTCTCTGCAACCTGGTGAAAACCTTCCCTGCTCTGGGCTCTCCTCTCCTTGCCTCCCTGAGAGGGCCGATGAGGAGGAAGAAGAGCCTCTGCCTGCCCCAGCGTGGTTGCAGGGTGAGATTCCTGTTCAGAGAGTCTCGTGATCAAAGCCTTTAGCTGCTCCATGTTAAGATCCGCACAGTCAAAGTCAGAGACCCAAAGGACTCGAAAACGGATTGAAGTGGGAATTTCTGCTTGGCTCCAGGGCGGGGTTGCCCCACGCTCTGCTGGTGTAGGTGAAAATGCGCCTGGACCCCACCGCCCGAGCCCTTCTCACAAGGCCAGCCCTCGTGTTGACTGCCTTTGTCATAGGAAATAGCTGGTCGCATACCTCAGAGTTCAAACGCCCAAAAAAAGAAGCAGGTCTTTGCTTGAGAGAGGTTTCTGCTTTACTTAGTAACACGCTTCCCTTTGATTTTCACAGTAGGCTGTTGTGTGTGGGAACGCTGGAGAGGAAGCCTCGGTGTGGAGCGGGCCGGGCGGGAGTCTGGGCCTCCGATTGAGATTTCTATCGCAGGAAGCAAACTGGAACAATAGCTTTATGATATTCGCTTCCACGCTGGGCTGAGAACAGAACACGCTCTGACGGGAACATCGGTAGAAATGGCGCTCGATTGTCTCGAAGCCTCTTTCAAGAGGAGCCCGCCAGCGGTGGCCAGGGCGAGGTTCACGGTGTCGGGAGGGCGAGAGAGAACCTCCGCAAAGTCAGCCAGTCTGGCACCTCACGGGGAAGCGGGCCACGGGCAGTCAGCTCCACTTTGCCCCCAGAATGGCCATGGCAACCCCCAGCTCTAGACACCCCCCGGTCAGAGCTCCGGGGGAAGTATGACATCTCCAGACAAATGTCAGGGTTTTTATTGGCCCGTTGGCATTTGCTCGGGGAAGACATCAGTCTTCGTTCGTAAGAGACGAGGATTTCCTGGTCACTGAACTACTAAGGGAGCGACATAAAAGGGCAAGAGTAGGGAGTTTTATTAAAGTTTGTCACCATGTCCTTTTCATGCAGGAAAAAAAAAAGGATCAAAAGGGAGAATCATGGAGGCAGGCCCAGCCTCTAGGTTCCTCGTCCCAGGCCTTCACCCCTGCGCTCTCTCCCAGTGCTCTGGCCGGCCGCCCTCCAGAGGGGCCTGCTGGGGTGTCCCGGGCAGGAGAGCAGTCAAGCACAGAACCCCCAACGATGGCACTACGTGCACCTCAGTCTGTGGCCCCAGCCCTGCGCCCCCCTGATGGGAGGTCGAACAAGAGGGAAGATAGGGTGGGCTGTGGAGAGGACAGGGGCTGCGGTGTCAGCTGGTGGCCAGTCAAGGCAAGATCCCCCTTCCTCCCCCCCGCCCCCCGCCACTGTCCTGCAGGCCAGGCCCAGGCAGGGCAGCTGTCACAGGTGGGGGGAGGGGGAGATCTGCCCAGCACAGCCAGCCCGGGACACCACATCAGAGCTACGTTCTGGCGCCCCTGGGGAGGGATGGTCTTAGCTTGGGGGGACGCATCCCAGCCGCCCGCTCACACCACGGGGCCCCCTCCCCTTCTGCCCTGTGGGGTGCCCCCTGCCCCGCGAGGGTGGTGCTGAAGGAAATGAATGGACTCCGGAAAAAGTGCTCCAAACCCTCAGCCCGCGCATATCCTGGCTGTGGAGGGTCATCAAAGCCTGTTTATGGGGCTAATTTTAACATGAAAGGCTGGTGTGGGCTCCCTGGCCTGTGTCTCCAGGGAGCAGACCTGCCCCTCATCCTGGGGGGTGAGGGGAGGAGGCCCAGTGGAGTCTTGAAGACAAAAGCATTAGTGATGGTGGTCTGCTGCCGCGCCCCATCCCCGGGGTATCCCGCCTCCTCCTGCGGTGCCTCCTGGAGGACCAGGGGCCCGCCCCACCAGCCTGGGTCCCCGGAGACCCCGCACCTGCCCAGACCCCCAGGAGCCCCCTCGCATGTGTGAGCGGTGGGGCAGGTGGCTCACTGACACCCCCTCTGTGGCACTCAGGGATGGTGAGGGGTCAGGGTGCAGCCCCTTCCGCCACAGCTGCCCAGTCCCCCGCTTCTCATCTTCGGCTCAGAGGGGCCAGGAGCTGGCCAGGCTTCGGCCAGGATTCCGCACTCCAGGGAGCAGAGTGGTCCCAAGGAAGGAGGCCGGGCTGTCCCACGGCCCCAGGCTGGTGTGTGGCTTCCTCACCCCTGCCTGTGTGATTCCAGAGCCCAGACGTTCTGTTTCCCTCCAAGCTGGCCCTGCCCTGCCTCTCTCCCTTGCTAGGGTCCAGCGGCTGGAGTCAACTTCGCCACCTCCTGGAAGCAGGCAGCCGGGCATGGGTGGAAACCAGCTTGGCTGTGTTGGAACTCTGTTCAAAACAGGAAACTTGAAGCAGAACTATTTCCTCTGGGCCTAGTTAACCCAGTAGGGTTGCCTTGGGACGATTCCAGATTTGGAAGGCAGCGTCGCTATCAAGATCAGAGCAATGGGCTCTCCACACTAGGCCAGAAGTCACGGCACAGGCCTCTGATCCCTGGAGGAGGTGGTTACCTAGGTGGCCAGGGCAGGGGGGTGTTGCCAGTGGTGCCGGATGCTCTCCTGGAGTGTCCCCCAAATAACTCACTGCCCACCATATCCGGAGCCGGCAGTGGGTTCCTCCAGCCTTGCAGCGACTGAGGTAACTTGGAGTTTGGGCAGCAATTCTTAGCTTGTGTCCCTGAGGGCTTGTGTGTTAGAAAAGCACATTCTCACCCCCACTGGGTGCCCTGTATACCCGGCGCTTCTAGAGGAGCTGGCTGGGTCCCACACTTAAGCCGGCACTGAGCCGTGTTGTATCTCGGTACCGGTCACCGCTGTATTCAAGGCCCCGCCAGTCCACCTACCCAGACCCGGGAATCTCAGTCTTCCTGGTGTTCGTGGTGTGTGTCCAAATTCCAAGGCACTCCGGGTCAGTGCAGGTGAGAGCCTGGAGCCCTCACACGCCAGCCGAGGCACGGGTCGGAGCCTGAAGGCCGCTTCAGTCTGCCCAATTCAGCTTTCCCGAGGGGAATCAAGTGTGGTGGCAGCAGCTTCCCGTGATCTCGCTCTCCTGGGCGAGCTGCCACCTCCTGTCCCACCATCTCTGAGCAGTGAAACTCACTAAACTCACTGGCTCTGGTCATTGGCCTGCCCCAGCATGGGCCTGCTCTCAGCCCCTCTGCAGAAATAGCAGCGTCTGCCTCTTCCCTAGGGCTTCTCTGCCCCAGTGTCTAGTAGCCACGGGGTGGGGAAAGGCTCAAGCCCCCTGGTAGGGAAAGTTTCTTGTTTGGGCTCGTGCTTCTTACAGACCAGCGGCCTAGCGCCCGGAGCTGTGCAGGGGAAACCAGAGCTAGATGCCCTGTGCTTTTGCAGAAGTGCCTTCACCCTCATTTCAAAGCGTCCACGTGTCCCTGACAGGCTACCTGGAGAGCTGACTACATTTTTTTTTTTTTAGAAAGTAGAAGAGCTTATTGGAAAGTAGAAGAGGAAGGAAAAGACCTCCCCATGCGGGAAGGAACTTGGCATAGGACTAAGTCCAAATCTGACTTCGTTCCCTGGAAAAGTCTCAATTCAAAAGAACCCTTTTCGTTAGGAGGGTACTAGGGTTCATACGTGACAGATCACTCTCCTCCCTTTGTTATATCAGCCAAGCAAAGCATATGTGAGTTCTTGTTGGTCCAGGAGGGAGCTTTGTAAGTAATTGTGCATTTGGAGTTTAATAAAATAGAGGGAGGGGTGCTGAAATGAAATAATGTGGCCGGGGGTAATAGCCCAGGGCCGGTGCCAGAGGCTTCGTTTGTTGGTCAGTGATAGGAGAAGTTTGGGCTTTACAGAGAGCAGAGAGCACTTACTTGATAATTACTTCAGAGACTGGGCTTGAAGGGACTGCTTTCTGGCCCCTAGTGACACTTTTGCCTGCATGCTGGCACCAGGGAAATCCCTCCTAAGAAACGCACTGAGGACTCATCCAGAACTGGACCCAGGGTCCGGCCCAGTTAGAGAAACGTCTCCTAGCTGCCCTCCTTAGTGCCAGGGGCTGGGGCCTTACTCAGCCAGAAGCACATTCACCCAACTGCTTCTAGAAGCCCCTTTGGTTTCCATGCTTTCGAGTGAAGTCCCCACTCTTCTGAGTCCCCTCAAGTGACCTCTTGAAATCATTAACTCTGCCGCCTGCGAGCACCCCCACCCTGCCCGCCATGCTGTCCCTCTAAACCCCGGAGCCCCTCCTGATGTCTTCCTTCCGTCTCCTGAACCCATGGCCCTTGTGTCACTTGCGTCTTCGCTGCATTTGCCTCTCTGTGCTGCAGAGAGCAGAGTGCTTTTTCTTTTTCTTCGGGCTTCTTCTTGAGGTGCTCCCAAGCAGTGCTCAGCGGTCTGGAGGAGCCTCCTATCAATACTCGGTCAACTGAACCAGTGGTCATTGCTTGGATCCAACGACGTGGTGCTACTTGGGCCCTCAGGTGTCAAGGGCCCCCACCCCAAGGCCACCTCAGTTGTGTTCAGGGGCCTCTGGGACAATAGGGATTGAAATTGGGTCGAGCACTTGCAAGACGTACACCCTGGTCCCATCCTGCCTCCCTGACCCCTCTCCGGGTCCAAGCAGCCTGAGAGCAAGATTTACATCCTGGCCGGAGCAGAGGAAGAAAGGAATTGATAGTGATTGATACCACATTAGGCGTTTTTCATACCTATTTGATTCTGATGACTCCAAGCAGTAGGAATTATTGTTTCCCCATTAAGCTGATAGAGAACCTGATGTCAAAAGGACGGTTGCCCAGCTGCCGCCGACTCAACAGCGCCTCTACCGAGACAGATGCTGTGTTTCCTTGCTCCATAGTTTCCGTTTGTGAAGAGTGAGATTTCTGGGTCCAGCTGCCTGGTTTGCTCACTCCAGCCTTTGTAAACGTGGGCAAGTGATGTGCTCTCGCCCAACCCCAGCTTCCAGAGTATACAAAGGGTGGTCCCCCATCTTGGGTATGGTGGATGAGCGTTCAGGGCAGTGGCCTGGTCAGTGGTCACTCCCAGTGGCACCGGGAACGGTCTTTCCCCCACTCCTGTACTGGCCCCACAGCACCAGTCCCCACCATCACCACTCTCCTGGCTCCCTGCTCGCAGGGTCCACTCCGGGCTGTCCCCACCAGATGCCAGTGTGGGGCTGTATGGTGGACACTTAGGGAAACAGCAGCATGCATTTCCAGAAAAGTCCTCCTGACGCCTCGAAGCCACCCTGACGGACATCTGTCTGTCTCTTCAGTCACGTCCTTGCCCGCGATGCGACTCCCCCAACCCTCTCTTTCCAGTTTGCTCTGAAAATGAGTCTGAAGCCGAGGCCGACCAGCAGATGGACAACCTCTACCTGAAAGCCTTGGAGGGCTTCCTCGCCGTGGTCACGCAGGACGGAGACATGATCTTCCTGTCGGAGAACATCAGCAAGTTCATGGGACTCACACAGGTGACGCCCCTGGGGCTCTTCCCCTCTGGGAGTAGAAACTGGGGGAGGGGGCGGGCTGGGCAGCCCTCCTGACCACTCCCCGCCAGCACCCACGCTGTGACCCTCTCTGACCCTGGGCTACAAACAGGTCCCCCTCCCCTGCAACTGGCTATGGGCATTGTAGGCCGCCATCCCAATATTCAATGGACACGGTCAGAGTCCCAGGAGCCCAGTCTGTCCCTCTCTGTGTCCAGGGGCCATGTCCTGAGTTGGGGGCAAGCAACTCTCCAGGTCTGGAAGCTGGCCCGGCTTTTGTGGCCCACGTCATGGACCCTGACCTTCCTTTTAAAATAGGTGGAGCTGACCGGCCACAGTATCTTTGACTTCACCCACCCCTGTGACCACGAGGAGATCCGGGAGAACCTGAGTCTCAAAAACGGTATGGGGGCCTGCACGGTGCCCATTTCCTGCCTTCTACTCCAGCAGGGAGGGGGCCCATGTCACTCCGTGTGAGTATGGAGAGACGCACCCGGCCGTCAAGAGCCTGGCAGAGCCCATGAGATTGGTGTGGGGGGGGGGAGGGGGGAGAGCGGGTGGTAGATGCTGCAGGGTCTGCCAGGCCCTCACTGTCTTCAGGACTCATGTCCCCAAGCACCAGGCCGGGGGTCTGGTTCTCCACCCCTACTACAGCCGGCTCCTCTGTGCCCTGGGCTGTGGTCACAGCTGGCCCAGATGGTGTGCCCCTGAAGGCATCCTCTTCCCCACTCTGCCTCTGCAGGAAGTTGATTTGCACCCCACTGTCTCAGCTGGATTGCCCGGTGTCTGGGGACTGGGGGCTGGTGGGATGATCAGGGAAAACACACACACACACACACACACACACACACATGCACGCATGCACGCGCACATACATACACACTCATGCACCCACACACGCAAGCACACATGCACGCACACACCTCTGGGAGCTTGTGGCCAGTGGCTTGAGGCTGGGACCCCAGTACCCTCCTCCCCTCTTGCTGTATTCCAGGAAGACTGACCTCTCACCTGGCTCGGGGTGGGGGGTCTGAAGTACCAGCAGAGGCTGCCGAGTCCTGGAACAGGCACAACACACTCCTCCCGTTCCTGGTGGCTCTGGTGGGCTGTGGGCAGCCCCGGTTCATGTAGGAGACCATCTGGAGGTGTGACTTATCGGGGCCACATTTGAAGACTAATAATCTTGGGAGTCCAAGAAATGAATGGGGTCCCAAGTTATATGTTTGGGGCCAGGGGCGGCGGGGCTGGGGAGGGCAGGGGGAACAGGAGGTCAGCGTATGCCAGTGGATGGTTGAGCCCCTGCAAATGGGAGGCACTTTATAATGACCGTGGGGACCACTATTTGTCTCCTGGGCCTGAGCTATTCAAACAGAGAGGCCTGGACGGGCTACTGAGGTCAGGTGCTATAGGCAGAAGTGAAGAGAAGTTCAAAGCTTGGTGATTCTTAGGGTCTCACATGGGCCTGAGATTCAGCCCTTACCCTGAGGTTGACATCTGCTAAGCATTGACCGCATGGCATTACCTCGGGGGGTAGTCAGGATGCTTGTTCATCCTGGATGACAGAGGCCCAGAGCGGTACCCACGGTGTGGCTGTTGTTCCCACACAGGCAGCCAGACGCTCCTGGCCTGACCTCACCTGGGTTCCAAGTCTGCCTGCAGTGCTGCTCCACAGAGGCCAACACTGCCCCCTGCCCACCCTCCCAGCCTGCTCCCACCTGCCATCCCACCTGGAGACCGCGGCCCCCGGCTCCTGGCAGGCACAGTCAGACTCTGGGCCGTCCTGGTCCTGGTTGTGTTTCTGAAGAAGCTCTGCTTGTTTCCGTGGGCACGGGCCCACCGCACTCTCGGGTCCCTTTCTAAAGTAGGCACTTGCTGCAACACCTCTGCTCTCCACAGAATCTGATCCCCAGGGTTCAGACTCCGTCCACCTAGCCATGGACTCTAGTCTCAGACTGACTGTGTGACCTACGCCCAGGCACTGCATTGCTCTGGCCCTAAGAGTCTGTTTTTTCAAAATTAGGGTCCTGGACCAGGGGAATAGAGAGGTAGTATCGTGGGTAGGGGGGAGGGAGAGGTAATACAGTGGTTAGGGTTCTTTTCTTGCCTGCAGCTGACTTGGATTTGATCCCTGGCATCCCATGTGGTCCCCTGAGACCACCAAGCCGTGATCCTGAATGCAGAGCCAGGAGTAAGCCCTGAGTACCTTTGGGTATGACCCACCAAAACAAAACAAAACAACAAAGAAGGTGCCAGACCTGGCAAAGCCTTGGACCAACCAGCCCTCGAGCAGCAGCATTCACAGCCCAGGGACTCAGATTTTCTGAGTAGAACTTTAGCTCCCCCGGTCCCTGCCAAGGACAAAGGCCTGTGACTCGCTGAATCGGCAGATCTTTGTCCAGGGTGCCAGTCTATGGACCCACAATCTGAAAGCCCAAGCATACGGGTGAACTCCCAGAGAAAGATAAGGCCAGGAGGCTGATTGTGGCAGGCTTTGAAGGCTAAGGGAGGGCCGCGAACTTTATCCTCTAGACAGAGGGAAACTCTGAAGGGTTTTTGAGCAGGGGTGGGGTAGTCTGACTGGAATTAAAATTAAAAAGATGAGTCAAATGGCAGAATGGGGAGAACCCAGAGGTTAGCAAGTTAGAACCCAAACCCACAGACACCTCTGGGTCCCTCGAGGTGACTCCTCTTGATGTGAGTTCAGACTCCCAGATCTGGGAGAGTCTTAGGTCAAGCAAACCTCACCAACGTAAGTTAAAATGGTGAGAAACAGGCAGGTTTGGGAGAGAGAGCTTATAATCATGACGGAGGAAGAATCTCTCAGATCAGAGATAGAGAGAGGGCCAGAGAGAGAGTGCAGTGGGTAGGGCGCTTGTCTTGCACACAAGCAACTGGTGCTCGATCCCCAGAATCTCATATGGGCCTCTGAATACTGCCAGGAGGGATCCCTGAGTACAGAACCAGTGCCACTGCTGGGTGTGGCCCCAAAACCAAACCAAAACAAACAAACAAAATAAGCAAAAGAGTTGAAACTACTTGTTTCATCCCTTAGTGATACCTCCCCAGAGGTCCATTCGAAGAGGCCATGGCTCATTGAACACACAGCCCTTGGGGGCCTGTCCAGTGGGGGCATGCTTGGGGGGAGGGACATGAGCGTTTGAAACCAGGATCTGGTCTTAGATGACACTGGGCTGCACGAGGAAGGCTTACATTGGCAAGGATGGTGTGGGCACAACTTATACATGGGCACAGAGGACGTGACTGGTACTCACTGTACCCATTATTGCTGTTTGGGAAATGCGGGGAAAGTTCTGAATGGGCAAGTTATACGGGATTATAAGGAGCCACAAGGGGGGTTATTTCGCCCTGCCTGAGAAGGGTCACATCGTCCGGGCTGAGTCCATCTTCAGAGCAGACTTATTCACCAAGAGCCGTGAGCTCTAGATCTCTCTAGAGCTTTGACATGTGTTGATTCAGGGAGGGAGTGGATGGTTCCTTGTCCTGAATGCAGCCACTGCAGATGGCAAAGAGGAGCGCTGGAATTCTGCAGGGTGGGAAGCGAGAGGAGACCATGGTGTCTGTGGGACACATCTCACTGCAGTTCTTCCTTTGGAATCGCTGTGATTTCACCAGACTGTCCTGGGATTCCTGCTCGGAGCCTGGGCCTGATCAGGGGGCTTCTGCAGAGCCTGTCCCAGTGTCCATTGCCCGGAGGCCCTAAAGTGGGCAAAGCCTTGTGCTCAGGACATTGGGGGAGAGGTCAGGGGACATTCCCAAGAGCACAGTGCCTGGGCAGTGAGGATTGGGCATTGCCCAGGAAGACTCTTAAGTGGGTGCCCATCTGCCGAATAGAACCTTAAAACCAAATCAAGAGGTCGCCTGCACCCCTTCCTCCCCAGGCTCTGGCTTTGGGAAGAAAAGCAAAGACATGTCCACGGAGCGGGACTTCTTCATGCGGATGAAGTGCACGGTCACCAACAGAGGCCGGACGGTCAACCTCAAATCAGCCACCTGGAAGGTCGGAGGGCAGGGCCGGGGCTGGCTCTCTGGGTGGGGAGTGGGAGGTCCCGCCCCTCGGGCCGGATCTGACTGCCCAGCCGGCTTCCAGGTCCTGCACTGCACTGGCCAGGTGAAGGTGTACAGCAGCGGGCCCCCGCACAGCAGCGTGTGCGGCTACAAGGAGCCACTGCTGTCCTGCCTCATCATGATGTGCGAGCCCATCCAGCACCCCTCCCACATGGACATCCCCCTGGACAGCAGGACCTTCCTCAGCCGCCACAGCATGGACATGAAGTTCACCTACTGCGACGACAGGTGGGCTGCGGGGGGTGTGCGAGAGAGAGAGAGAGAGAGAGAGAGAGAGAGAGAGTGTGCTCGTGCCTGGCCCAGGTAGGGACCGGAGTGTAAAGCAGTGCCGTGTGTGTGTGTGTGTGTGTGTGTGTGTGTGTGTGTGCTTGTGCTTGTGCCTGGCCCAGGTAGAAACCAGAGTGTAAATCAGTGCTGTGTGTGTATGAGTATGTGTGTGAATGTGTGAGTGTGTGAGTGTGTGTGTGCTCGTACCTGGCACAGGTAGGAACCAGAGTGTAAAGCAGTGCTGTGTGTGTGTGTGTGAGTATGTGTGTGAGTGTGTGACTGTGTGTGTGCTTGTGCCTGGCTGGGTAAGGATAAGAGTATAAGGCCGTACCATGTGTGTGTGAGTGTATGAGTGTTTGTGTGAGTATGTGTCTGAGTGTGGAGTGTGTGAGTGTTTGTGGGTGTGCTTGTGCCTGCTGGGGAGGGACCAAGTATAAAGCAGAACCATGTGTGTGAGTGTGTGTGTGAGTGTGTGTGTGAGTGTGTGTGTGTGTGTGTGTGTGTGTGCTCGTGCCTGGCTGGGTAGGGACCAGAGTATAAGGCAGTGTCATATGTGTGAGTGTGTGTGTGTGTGTGTGTGTGTGTGTCTGTGTGTGCTCGCCAGTACAGCCACACTTGGAGGCACGTTTGGAGTGGCTGTGTCCTACTGACTGCCGCCGTGTATTCATCCTCCTCCATTGGCATATCAGGCTCCTGAGGGAGTTCCGGCCGACTCCCCTCCCAGGGGTGAGAGCCTAAGACCCCCTCCCCATCCCCACCAGTACTCTCAACTCAGCGGCCAGCTGGCGTTTCTGGCCTGCCTGGAAGCTGCCTGGTCTCTCTCTCCTCTGCTGCTTTCGGCCTCTGCTCCTCTGCGTCAGCCCTGTTCCAGCCACTCTCCAGCAGAGTTTTGAAGGCTTGGTGGGGGGTGGGGGGTGGGGGAGCTGAGCCAGACTGTGGCCCCCAAAGCCAGGCCCGCCCGGAATCCTCTCAGGAGACTGAGCTGTTCAGAGCATTGCGCCTGGGTTTCAATTAGCAAATGCCCAACGTCGGCTCCTTCTCTCTCTCTGCGTCGCTTCTTTGCTAATGCTGTTGATCGAGTGTTAAAACTGTACATGACACTGGCTGCATCCTTGCTAGCTCTGAGCTGGAGGGGAGGTGGAAATAGGTGGGGTCATCGAGGCGGGGATGTGGAAGCCCACAGTTCCCGACCTGCCTGCTGCCTCACCTCTGACCTTTCCTTTGTGTCTGGTGTTGAGGGGGCTGGGACAGGGAAATAGACGGTAAAAGCTGAGGGTGGTGGGGAGCCTTCTGGTGCCCAGGGCCATTTTGATATTTAGAGCATCACTCACAGGCCACACAACACAGGCAAGCAGGCCTGGGGCAGCTGATGAGAAGCATGTGTGTCCTGTCATGTCCTGGGGACAGACCTCATAAACAATGGGCCAGGTGTTCCCTTCCCCTCCCCACCCCTACACACACACACACACACACACACACACACACACACACACACAGTGGCTGTACCAGAGAGCAGAGCCAAGTTAGAAGGAGCCTGCCCGCCTGGGAAGGCCTAGTTCTGATAAACTCTGTGTGGGCAGTAGACTGGAGCAGGCCTGGTGGTGCCCTTCAGGGCTGCCCTCAGCTCTCAGCACTGCTCAGAGGCAGCGTTTTCCTGCCACCATCCTGGTTTTTGTGGTAACTCTGTCACTCCGCCCACTCCTCTCCTTCAGGAACTTCTGAGGGAACCCAAAGCTGCAGCATCCCCTTCTCTCAGAGAGAGAGGACAGTCCTTTCCCAGCCACAGTGCACGGTGAGGGCTGGCTAAGAAAGCTCTTTGCAGACCACAGACGCTGGAACTCAGGGGGATCTGCCCTGGTCTAGGCTCTGTACTCAGGGGCCAAGAGCACATCTGGAAGGCTGAGGGACTAGGGCCTGTGAGGTGAAGGACGGACCCACAACAGGAGATGGTGATGATGTGTCTTGCTTTTGGTTGTGGTGGTAGTGTGGTGATGGTGTTGATGGGGATGAAAGTGGTGGTGGTCATGATGCTAATGGTGATGATGGTGATAGTGTTGGTGATGATGCTGACCATGGTGGTAGTGGTTATGGTGATAATGCTACTGGTGGTGGTGATGGTGAGGATGGTGGTGATGATGGTGGTGATAGTGATAGTGGTAGTGATGGTGAGGATGGTGGTGATGGTGATGGTGGTGAGGAAGGTGGTGAGGATAGTGGTGATGGTGAGGATGGTGGTGATGGTGGTGGTGGTGAGGAAGGTGGTGAGGATAGTGGTGATGGTGAGGATGGTGGTGATAGTGATGGGGGTGGTGATGGTGAGGGTGGTGGTGATGGCTGATGGTGGTGGTGAGGATGGCGGTGAGGACAGTGGTGGTGATGGTGAGGATGGTGGTTCTGGTGGTGGTGATAATTATGGTGGTGGTGGTGGTGGTGAGGATGGTGATGATGTTGGTGGTGAGGATGATGCTGGTGGAGGTGATGACAGTGGTGATGGCGGTGATGATGGTGGTGGTGGTGATTGGAACATCTGATCCAGAGAAATCCATCTTGTGTGTCCAGTCACTGACAGCTGTAGTTTGCATTCAGAGGCACACTCTGGGCAGAGGGCAGTTTAGTACTGTCTCCCCCTACCTCCATAGTATTCTAAGCTGTCCAGGCTCCAGGGCAGGATGGTGCAGGAGGGCCTGCAGGCCGGAAGCTACCTCTGTGCTGTAAATGGTTGTGGGGCCACTGGCTCGTGTGTGGCACAGCACTGAGAAGTGCCCCCGTCTGGGAAAATAACTTCTCGGTCCATGGTCACAGAAATGAAACAAGATTTTTTAAAAAATATATATCTAGATTTTTTTTTCTGGAAGGAAGGCATTCTGATTAAGGGGTTAGAAATATGAACAGGGGCTGGAGCGATAGTGCAATGGGTAGGGCACTTGACCTACAGCAGGTAAGGCAAGCAGCTGACTCAGGTTTGATCCCCAGAGCCCATAGGGTCCCCCCAGCACTGCCAGGAGTGATCCTTGATGCAAAGTCAGGAGTAACCTCTGGGTATCACTGGGGGTGCCACCCCCACCCCCAGCTATGAACAAAGAGGAGACCAAGATACTGAGAAACCATTCTGAGGGAGAATTAACCATAGATTCTCGTAAGTGATAGAATTCTTCAATAATCTCCTTCAAATAACTTGAGGGGTGTTATGAGCCCATAACTTGGAGTGTCTGTCAGGAGAGGAGGAATTTTCTTTCATTTGGGCCACACTTGGTGATGCTTAGGTCTTACCCCTGGCTCTGTGCTCAGGAATCACTCCTGGTGGGAGTCGGAGAAACACAGAGAATGCCGGGATTGAAACTGAGTCAATACCGGCCAAGATAAACGCCCTACGCACTGTGCTATTGCTCTGCCCAATTCCTTTCTCTCTTTTTCTTTGTTAAAAAAAATACCTTAGTATGGATTATAATTGTGTTATTTCATGAATAATTGTAGTTGAGGTAAAATGTTCACGCTAGAGTTAACATTTATGGTTTTAATGTAAAGTTACTCACCTCTACCAGTGTGCCTGTGACCTCCCCCCACCCCCACCACTGTCTTTTGTCACCTCCAGTCCATCTCTCCCCGTCACCTCCCTGCCCCACACCTGGGATTCTGTTTTGTCATTCAGGCCCCCGGGTTTGTTTTCCTTCGGCAGTGTGTGTTCCTCGTTCTGTTCCTCTGTGTATCACAGATGAGTGCGACCATCTGGTGCTTGTGCTTCTCCCTCCGACTTGCCTCCGCGGTTCCACATGGTGGCCCCTAGTTCCATCGGAGTGTGAGCGAACTGTGAGATTTTATCTCTCCTTCTCGCTGCATCAAATCCTAGCGTGTGTCTGCCACGGCTTCTCCTTCCATTCCTTTGTCATCGGACATTTGGGTTGTTTCCATGTCCTGGTATTATACCAAGCACCGCAATAAATGCGGGTGTGCGCCTCCCTTATCTAACTAATGCTTCTGTGTTCTTGGCATCGATGCCAAGCAGTGGAGTCACTGGGTCACAAGGAGGCCTTAGTCTGGGTTTTTTGAGAGCTCCGTGCTGTTTCCCAGAAAGGCTGTACCAGCGACTTTCCCGTGGCAGTGGAGAGGGTCCTTTCTCACCGCACACCCACCCACACTGGGGGCACTTCCGATCTTTTTGGTCTCTGCCGGTGTCACTGGTGGACGAGCACCATGTTGTCATTTTTATTTCCTCTTCCCTGATAATAAGCCATGAGGAGCACTTTGTCATGTGTCGACTGAGTCTCGATGTCCTAGAAGAGGGATTTTTTTTTCTTTTTTAAGCTTAAGACTTTGATCCATCAAGCCTCAAAGTTAAAGTGAAGAGGATGGGGAAAGAATAACTCTGGAAAGGGTCATTTGACACATGCCTTTATTTTTTATCTTGTTTCAAATAAACCCTGGCTCATTTCCTGAAAGTAACGAAGCAGCCTTTCGGTCAGGAGGAAAGGGGCCAGCCTGCAGAGCCGGGAACCTGAGCATGTCGAAAGAAGGGGTGGGCAGCTGGGGGCCGAGCTCCACGACCTTGGCAGGGTGCGCCTCAGCTGGAGGAGCCTGTGACTTGGGGCCTTGTGACTCAGTGTGGGGGTGATGGGGTTCTCATTCCACTGGACACGTTGCATTTTCAGCAAAAGCTCGCCTTTCAAGAAACCTAATTACATGGCCCGAGCTCGGAGCTCACAGCGCCGGGGAGATGAATGCAGAGGCCTTCGGAGGCTTGAGAGGCTGTGCCACACACAAGTTGTGTTTAACTGATTAGGAGATTAGCTCGAAAGGGCAGCGGCGTGGCTCAGCCTTCTATGAAGTGACTGCTTCAAAGCTTTAATCCCTGACTTATTTCTCCATTATTTGATGAGGGCCGAGGTGCAGGGCGGGGCCGGGGGTTAGTTAGAATCGCTTGTTTTATTTTTCTTTGTTGTTATTTATATTTGGGGGCTCCACTC